GTCTTCCTGTTTAAAAAGCCAAGAAGGTAAATGTTCAGCTGCCCTGGGTCCTGTTTCTTATGATAGCGGAGTCATGAGCATCAATGTGTCGCTAATTCTCTTGGCTCGGCGTCAGCGGTTAAGTATGATGTGTCGTACAACAAAGCGATTGGTTATCGTTAAATCATTGGTCCAATAGATAGGGCTGTCTTTAGAAGCCCTACTTGCCTTTGACTTATAATTATAACCTACTTTTACATTTTTCAGTAGCCCGACCCTCCCTTTTTCGATAAATTCCGCCAATATAAGGTAAATTCCCAACAATAGGCATCAGTTGCCTGAGTAACAGGACTTTATGTTGACGGAGTTTATTCTATTTAGTTGATTAAAATTACTATATGTGGCTTAAGTATAATATTGTTTGATCACGTTCGACACTATTACATATTCATTTACACTCGCCAATCCAGAATTACATGTTAAGCCACCAATTCCGTAAGACAGTTGGCGGGGGGAATATAAATTTAGGCGGCCTTACAAGACAGTATTGCCGTCACATGAGCCATTGTTTAGTAATTGCTATTCGCTCAAATAAATAGAGCCAACTTGAGGAGTTGAAGACGCGTTCAACCGCCGAACGCGAAGTCTGGGAGCAGAAGTTTCGAGCCAACCTGGAGGGGGAACTTGCTACGCGCGAACGCGAAATCTCAGAAAAGCTGCGGAAGGATCGTGACAAACAGCTGGAAATGGTAATACGAAATTTGGAGGCTGAGGCGACAGCGGCTCAAGAGGCAGCCGAGAACGCAACAAACGGAAAGCTAAAGTTAGTTTTCAAATTTTTTTCTTCTTCTAAGCCGCAAGTTAAAACTTTGACGCTTGTTGCATGTTCCGAAGAGCCTGTTCTCATGCGATGTATGCAAATTTTGGTAAAAAAGAGCGAAATTTAGGTTCTAGCCCAAGACGAGTGGTGCTTTTATAGTTTCCTGATTAATTCAAGTGCCGCGGCACATGCATGCATTTACAGTGGTAGAAGTTGCCATCTACGGGTGTCTTGTTAAATGTGTGGGCTTCTGACCCTATCCGGATGGTAGTAACCGACTTTCCAAGATCATATCGAGGACTGTTAAGGTTATTAAGGTTAACTCTTAAGGCTGCGATCCTCCAGGCCCGGTCCCTTAGGAGAAGAGAGAAGTCATGGAAAGGCCAGAGTGTTAGGAGGAGTGTATTCTGTACAGAGGGGTTGAAGAATAGTTAGTAGGGGTTTTGATTGTCGGAGCGCCCGTCCTTCTGCTAGAGCGGGATTGCCCGAAGTG